CAGAACCCTCCACCAATAGGAGTGTGACATAGCTTGAATTGCAAATATTTTCCAAACATTTCTTGCTCATGAATCCTCATTCTTTGATGAGACAATGAAGAAATTTGCACTGGAAAGAAGGGGGGGAGGAGGATGAGAGAGAACATGTGTGGAGGGAAATATCTATCGGAAATACATTTTCAGCTAAGGAAAATGATTCCCTCTGAAACAAATATCTCCAAACAGAGAATAGCTATAATCCAACATTAAGATAGTGGAGGGACTGGTGCAAAGATTACCATGAAGAACTCACTTTAGAAAGCATCTGAAGGAAGCCCATGGGGTAAGACGTTCAATGACAAGGGCTCCATGGGAATCCACATCTTGTCTCATCTTGGGTTTACTCTTCACTTGTAGAGGAGAATGGAAGAGGTAAAGAATCTATAATTATGTTGCAAGAGATGGCAGAATGGGTATATAGCAGTCCAATTATTTGCAAACAAGCCATCAGTCAGCCAATATGTGTAGTGAGGTTGGGTCTCATTCAGACTTTACCTCGTGTGCTCACCTACTTGACTATTAGACTCAATGGGTCAAAACCAGCTGTGGGCGAAAGGTACTTGTAATAAACATCCATGCTCACCTTTCCCTACTATTACTCTATATACAGTCTGTTCAACTCACCTCTACTTTCAATCACTACAGTCCACATGCCGGCTGCAGGAGGAGGGTATCGCATTATGCTGATACAGTATGAATGCATACAGACACCCACACTCAACCATCAGTCTCTTTGGGCCCCATGTCAGCTATAAAACTGTTTTTTTTGTTTCGTTTTTTCCAGTATGAATGAGAATGTACCAATAATGGTGTTCTCTTCAACTCTACTGCACACACTCTGGCTGCAGGAGGAGGACTTGTAAGATAAAAGTATAGAAAGGATTGGTATAGTGAGTTGTATCATCAACCCGCTTTAAGATTGTGATGTTTCGTGGGATGACCCACACTACACTCTGAGTCACCCCACTTCTTGCCATAGAGGAACCCTTCATTCTAGCCACAGCAGTTAGGTCCCAATTGATGAAGATTTTCCATGATCCACTACCACAGTGGGTGGGAACTGGTAACTGGCGAAGGTCTCCCATAATCCACCTGGCTAAGGGGATAGAATTTGTATAGGAGAGACCAGATGTGCCCAGATACCTATTGGTACTTCAGTATGGAAAGGTCATTTACTGGAGACAGTGCAATTTTCAAAAGCCAGCAAGCACTAGCCTAAGAAGTGGGCAGAAACACTGTTTGGTGCTGCTTTTTCCATGACAGTCAATGGAATGAGTATGGTCCAAATCATACATGAAATGTAGTATATAAATATATATATATATATATATAAAAGAAAAATCAAAAGAGGTCTTGCAGAATACCCTATCTCACAGTAGGCACTTGTAGAGCCAGGATGGGTGGTATGAGTACTTTCCACTATTCTGACTCAATGCAGCTTTTGGGTAAGTATACCCTGGGAGGCAACATTAGCCACCTAGTGGGATCCTATTAAATAAAAGAAGGGCCCTGAAAGGGAAATGGTGCACATTGTACTCAAAGATGGTGAAGTGATGGAAGAATGGCTACCTGTGGAAGCCAAGTACCATCAGGAGATAAAACATCTAGAAGGTATAGAGAAGGATGTGTAAAGAAAGTCCACACGCCTGCCTACCTGGAAAAGCTCATCCAAGGGCCAGTGAAGAAGACATGGGAGAGAATGTATTTATCAACATCCCAAAACAAACACGTGAAAAAGGAGTCAATGAACCCATCATGTAAAAATAGGGTCCCAGGACAGGGACACAAGAAGATGATGACACTTAACCCTTTCACAATAGGTACCCCTTTAAACACTTTTCTATGCAAATCACTGTGCAAGTGTAAGTAACTATGAAGGATAAATAACATATTTTAGTAAAAACACTTAATTAAAATAATGTCATTCTTTTGTATAAGATACTTATGATCTTTAATAAAATCTTACCAGTTTTTGAAAGGATATGTTAAGAAATCTCAAAGTTATCGTATATATTATTGCACAAGTGAAATTTGCAACATGCTTTCCATAATTTACATGAGCCTGACATGAAAAAGTAAAAGCAAGAAGTTCATGTTAGGTACATAGAACTGACCAACAGAGCACAGTAGCCAGGTCCAAATGATCTGGTATAACAGAATGGAAGGAAGGGAGATAGAAGAGAAGTATGGTTTACCTTCAAGCAATCATATCCAAAGAAGAAAGGATCAATCAAGAGAGGGGAAAGAAGCTCAGTGGAAGAGGATGTGAGAAGCATCTATAGGACAGACCTCATAACAATGTTAATCACAGGAAATTAGTAGGAGGGAACAAGTTAGGAGATAAAATGGTAAAGACCAGGAAGGCAATAGCTTGAACGGGGCATGCACAAGATCAAACAAACCCCAATAAGGACTCAGTCAGGCAAGGAAGCAGGAAAAGTAGGACAGAGGAAAGAAATGGAATGGAACAGGAAGAAGAGGATAGAAATCTTCATACTGGGAAAAGAGAAAAAGCCATGGACATGGTCACCTGACAACTAAGAAGGGCAGAAGACGAGAATCCTTAGATGAACAGGATGGTAAGAAAGGAAGAAAATTAGAACACAGAATTACCAGTTGGGGGAAATAGATGATAGAAGGACCAATGACAACAGACAAAGACAGTGGAAGGACAAGAAGAATGTAATGGAAATAATGGTACAGTAGTGGAAATTCCAGTCTGGTGGATAACAGATTGGACAATTTCCATTTGTGAGGGTTGAGAGGAGAAGGGAAGTGTAAGAGTGTAAAACAAAAGAGAGGGAGAGAATGAAGGGATGAGGGATCCACTGAACAAACACATTAAAGGCCAAGGCAGTCTGAGGGGACCCAATGAAACAGATCAAAAAGAATGATAGTAGTAAGTAAATCCAAGGTCCAGAAGGATGAGATGAATAAAGGGGTAGATATAGAGAAAAAGGTAAAAACCAGGCTTGGTAGAGAAAAATAACAGCTAGAGATGAACGAAGAGGAATAGAGAACTGTAAGAGAGGAAGCTTAGAGCAGAGAAAAGTGGCAAATGTTCAAAAGGAACTTGTCCAACCAAGAGTAAACCCCATGGAAGATCTGGTGGTGCAGAGGCTACTCCATTGAGAGAATAAGGACTAGCCAACAAGAAAAAAATTCTCAGCAGATGATAAAAGTAGATACAAAAGTGCACAGATAACAGCCAAAAACAGAAGAGGCCCTAGAACAGTAGCCACAAGGATGGTTAGAACAAAAAGCTATGTGGAAGATTTAATTGAACATAACCAAGTGAACCATCAGTAGAATCAAGAATAGAAACATGCCCAACAACGAGATGAGGTTGAACACATTGATGAGGAGTGGATACCAGTCCAACATACAAATGTTAGAAGACCTGCCTCTAAAAAATATGTACCTCAATCAAAGAGCGAAATCTGGTTTGAGAGATGGTAAAGGAATGCAGGAAGAAGGACGGGCATAGACCAATCACTGTGATAATTCCTAGAGGAGAGGCTCATAAAAAGAGGAAAAAGGACCCCATGAAAGAAAACCTAGGGTCTGTCCCAAATGAAGGAGTTCTAGAAAAGCCAGAGTCCCCAAAAGGAAAAGAACCTCTCACATAGGGAGAGCACAAGAAATGTAAAATCCAGTGACCAGATAAAATACAGTTTGTAGACAAAGAAGATTGGTTGAACTCACTTGATACAAGAGAGGGTGGTAATGTCTAAAAGTACCAAATAATGAGTGGGTGTGAAAAAGGACCCAGATCCCAAGACATTTCACCCAACAACTGAGTAGGTACTGTAATAGGAGGGAGGTAGGAGAAAACATCTCAGAATGGGTTAAGAGATATAAACAGTTAAAGAAAAGGAATGCCAGCCATGGAATGTTAATATGGCAAGTGAAGGCTACCACAATACCAACTAAAATAAGATGAGCTGACATTGAGGCAAATGTAAAATGCAAGGAATGAGAAAATGCAAAAGAAGGATGGACAGGACAGAGAAAACAAAGAGAGGATGTCCCGAGATATGAAGGACGGTGTCCAACACACTAACTATGACTGGCCACAGATGAAACGAAAAAGACCATAGATGGGGTCAGAGGAAGGAGAAAAGGAAATGGGAAGAAATGCAGAGAGAAGAGGAGCAAGAAAAGAAACTAAGAGAAATGGAGAATAACTGTCAGCAGAAAGTAAGACTAACAACAGGAGAAGAGAAAGATACCCACAGAACTGTACGTGTGTGATTGTCATTGGCAAGAAGAGCGACAAACAAGATTACCGGTAGAGGTAACATGAAAAAAAACACACAAGACATCTGAGTATAGGAAGGGAGCCAGATGAATAATATATACACAAAAAGAATGAAGAGTTACATTAAAAAGGAATTTAACCTGATTCAACGAGTCCCTACAGCAGGATAACAAAGCAGAATAAGAGGAACAAGCCAAACAAAGAAGGGAATGAACATCTTCAGAAGCTATCAGAAGCATAAAGAAGTGCCACAGATAAAATGTGGAAGTAAGAGAGAGAATACAGAAGTTTAGAGAAAAACAAAAAGACAAAAAAAACACAAAGAAAAGAAAGGCATACTGTTTTCAAGAATTCTATCAATTTGAAATTAGATGGGGGAGTCAAACCCCTCTCATGATCTTCCTCATGTCATCCTATATCACCGAGTCAAGTTTGGTGTTGATTGATCAAGAAATGTTGAAATGTACAAGGAACAGATATAAAATGACAGATATACGACTATGTATTTTTTTCCCAGACACACACTTTGCTTTATATAGTACACACCAGACATAAAAGTACATAATTTTAATTATCATCTTATTAAAAACTAAGCATCATACACAGATGTGGGATAGCAAGTTGAATGCCACTTTGTGTGAGGCATGCTAAAATTTAGCATAAAATGTCAACACAGTATTTTAAAGATTATCTAACTTACATCAAGTTCCACTTTAGATTCTGGAAATCTTTCTCTGTCAAATGCATCAACCAGAAAAACAATTGCATCAACAGCTGGAAAATAATCCCTCCAAACTCTTCTGGCTATAATGAAAAAAATTTAGAAAGTTTAGTTATATTGTATATTTATGACATAAAAAACAAACAATAATGGGATACACTTTATAATTCATTGCCTACCATACACATTACGCCATAACATTAACACATGTAGCATAATACCTATTATTATTGAAGATAACTGAAAATATATTTAATATTTAATAATATTAGCAAATTAAACCTTCGCATCTGGGCCAGACTCCTTTTGGCATGTTACAAGCTTTTACAGTGTTACATTCAAAATTTAACTAAAAAACTTTATCATCACTATATGTCAATAAACTTGTCAATTGAAAACATAGTTTATAATTCAAATTTTTATATTATTTAAGCTTTAATTTCAAAAAGAAATATTTAGAAAATTCCCAATATTCATTTTTCTGCATTGCTTGGAGCATCTGACTTCAATGTGGGTCCTCTGCAGTTTATAATCAATTAGAAACATAGCTATACATAATTATAGGCTATAACCTAAAATTTGAACCTTCAACCTTCTTGATTTGCTAAGATACAATAAATTTGCAAAACCAATCAAAGCCCATCCACTAGCTCTCTTTCAAGAACATGTTTGTAATCAATAGAAAGAACAGATTCGCCTCTACATGCATCTCGGGAATAGTCCTTTAGTTTCTTCACCATAAAGCAATAAACAGCTCAACTGTTTCGTGTTCATATCTTTGTGCCCCAAATGCTTACGGATTTTTTTTTTTTTTTTTACTTACTTATATAGCTTACAATTATTTAATTATACTATATAAATATTATATAAATTATAGTAGTTTTGAAATATTCTATTCTAGTGACTGATATATATATATGTTGTGTATTAAAATGTACATTTTATAGCAACATGAATTATTTTAGACATCCAAATCTGTTACACTCAATAAGGCTTTTGAAAGAATATCTACTCATGTGAAAACTGCATCCAGTATGCAGAAAGTATAATAAATCCTTGTTTTTTGTATTTTTCTTATTTATTGTTATATAATTATTAACAAAAGTAACCAAAATGCAAAATTTATAAAACTTCTCAGCTTATCTAAAATAAAACATCTCAAATTACACTGGCTGAAATGCTGGTGTGAAACATGACACTCAATATCACATGGTTTTTACATTAGCTCCACTGGAAACAGCTAATGGGCTCTCACTGTACTCCGATAGTAGTTAGTTCAAAGGACAGAAATAACATAATAAAATTAAGAGAAATCGGGTATGAAAAGGTAAGAAATTGAAGCTGTTAAGATAATTTGGGACTTTTGGATCAATAATAGAGTCAGAGCAAAGGACAAAATGGTATTATTAATTCTATTTCATATTTTGGAACTTTAACTTCACTGAACATTGATGATTCTACTACAGTTGGTGTTATAGTTGAGAAAACAACAGATAATTATAAAGTTTTTTCAAAATAAACTTTTGATATTCATTTAAGAAATCCTAGAGGTTAAAAAATTGAAATATGAAAACTAAGATAAAACGTAGTATTTTCATTCTTAGCATGAAAAGCTTTGGAAATGCACAGGCAAGTCGTCATTACAAATATTTCATTGAAATAATTTTTTTTGTGTGTATGGCACACTTGTAAATTTTACTAAAAACTTGCCAAATTTCACAAAGGTACACTAAATACATTAAGAATTATAGTAAACATTACTATACATAGTTTCACAGATATGGGGTTGATCAATTTGACCAAACACAGGAAGAGAGGGTTAACCGGATTGCATAAGTAGTCAGAAGCTATACTTATATGCAGTGTGTGTGTGTGTGTGTGTTACTGAATGAAAACTTTTCATTACATATAAAATTTATATACCTGAGCTTTAAAACCAATTAGCCAATTATTATTTTTCAGTTAAATACTTACATTTAATAAATCATGAATTTATTACAACTGAGCTTTACAAGTTTTCAAAGTACACGTTAATGACAATGTTCATCTTTCAAGACAGAACTAGTGAAAGAGCTGCAAGAAATGGTGTAATAAAGAAACCACATTTTTCAGAGAGTAACTATCATTTTGATACATTAAAATTAAAACACTTCTCAAATTTTCACAAAGTAAAAATACAAATGCATTTGGAAAAAAACTTTTATTAATAAAATAAATTCCTCTGATTTCTGTTACAAAGCATTTCTACTTCAACGACTTCATGAGTAAACTTTACAATATGAATAAATCTAACAATAATTCTGTTCAGCCTAAGGATTTCCATTTGGAATAATCAACCAGGCTTATTACAGAGGGTTTATTACACTTTGTAAAAATAATACAATTCTTGATCATTTGACAGTGCATTATTGCCACAAATAGACTCTTAGTTAGAGGCATACATCACAGCTGTAAAGAAATAGCAAAGTGGTGCAAGGCCTGGGGTGTGCAAATTTCAAAGATGAAACAGTGAATAGTATTGGCAAGAAAAGACCAATACAGTTGTATGAAAATGTAAACTTACCTAAACAGCACCATAAGCAGTACTGTCAGTAAAATGCTAGCATTCTAGTAACTGGTAACAACTGCAAATATTCCAATCAACTGTGTACAAGATAATTCACAAAATTTTGTCTACTGGTAAGAGAATGACAAACTGCAGAAAACTGTACAAATAACAAGCCTTACACATAAGAGAGGGAAGTTTGTTGAAACAATGGATAAGGCCTGTATGTACTTGAATAAATGTAACAGGAAATGGGTGATTTGCTACCAATCACTATGTGATAAGGACTCTGTATATTACAAAGAACGTTAATTAGTTTTTCATCAAGCATTACAGTTGGTGCAGTCTCTCGTAGAATGGAAGATTTAAACTTCACAAAGAGCGAAAGTCATCTATTATGGTAGATAAAACTCTTGCATTATATGGACAGAAGACCAATATATATATATATATGGCTACATCAAGATAAAGATTCAAGCTAATTTATAAGTCCACAGCAGCATTTCATCTGCTGAACCCTTTACCCACCACATCCTTACACTGTGAGAACATAACATAGCTCTAATTAAATTTTGATTCAAAAATACAACTAGTAGATGAAATTGTTTGAAACTTGACAGGAACTTTCCTAAAGGTTCGTAGTTTCAAAAGATAAAATATCTTAATTTTAATTGATTTAGTCTTTATGCATTATCAGCTTTGAAATCCAGAAAAAACTGTATTAGGAAATGGTTTCATCTTACATATATTTCTAATCATGGTGTCTGTTTAAGTGTTAATCTGTCTCCCATTTGAAAAGCAGCACGTGCAGACAAAGCTCAACATTCAATTTTCAAATGATGGGAGAACAGACATGAATAATGTTGATGCCAAATCTTACTTCACAAGCAGGATATTCTACACTAAAATGTTAGGAATTAATAACACTACCATTCACATTTCAAAATGTGATGTAATTTAAAGAATAAAAATGTAGATTTACCATATGTTATTGTTGAATGGCTCTTTGCATGACTCAAATGCTCAACAATTATTTTTCGCAGTGGGCAAAAAAAAGTAGCTCAGAGTGAAAACAAGAATGCAACATAATTAATCTTTTAAAAGCCCATGAAATAATTTAAAATGATAGATTAATTTAAACTTTTGTCATCACTGGGGACTGGCACTTTTGCTCGTAGGAGATAATTAGCATAATTTAGTTCCAGATTTGAACTTCTTACTTTTGTGTATTAACTTATTATTCTAAATATCTCTAAAAACGTTTTATCATTCAATAAAGTGTAAATTTTGACAATTTAAATTTTTTTAAATTATGTATTCTCCTTATGTTTTCAATTAATACCAAAAATATTCCTAACTAAACCCAAATAATAAGTATATATTTTCTATTCTTAAATACGATTTCATGTTTATATATATAAAAATTTTAAACTTGTTTCATAAATGTATTTATCTTTATTTGAAGTTTATGTTTGATTGTACCCATAATGTTGTCTATTGTACCAATAAAATTGTTATCAACAATATGAATAGCATTCAATTCTTGTAGACATATCTCACATCCACTCAGGGCATCTTTCCTCTCACTAACTCTAACAAGGACACATTTGAAACTGTAGAAATGACTTGTGTGTTACAATACCTCAATACAATTTTTATCTTCCAAACAAGTTTATTTTAGCAAATGTTCTTATATGTGGCTTCAAGATACAAAGTACAACTTTACTACCACTACTAGTGAACAATATCAAAATTACAATATAGATTGATTATATAACACCTCTGATCCCTGGCTACATGGTACTTACTATAACATGTTTAGCCAAGTAAACAGACCCATATTTACAAAGGAAGTGACTTTACAGTAATTAAAACATTAGTTAAATCATATTCTTCTCATTACAACTGTCCAAAGGCAAGATATATTGGAACTACAAACTCAAGGTCACATGTATTCACATCCCTGCTGTGGGAATGTATAGTGTATATATTCTGTCACGTGTCCTCCATGCTTCACCTTCGTGTTTCGTCTCTTCACAATGTAAAAAGCATTTATAATTTTACACATAAATTGAAGAAACTGTTTATTAGTTTTAGTTCTCTCTTCCACTTTCACAAAATATTAATTTCTTGCATATATTAAGTATCCACAATAGCAATAATTAATAAAATATTATTCTTTAAAGTGTAAACAATGAAAAATTCACATAACAGTGGATATAATGGGAAAAGGCTTTTAGTAGGAATTTGTTACAGACCACTAAATGATACTAATGAAATTAGTGAGAAACTTTACAATGAGATTAAGATTTCAGCTGTTAATGAAGTCATAATTGTGGGTGATTTTAATTTCAGGCATATAGATTGAGAAATGTTAGAGTTAAACCGTGAGGGTGAAAGGTTTTTGGAAACTGTTCAAGATGATTTTCTTCACCAATTAGTCAAGGAACCTACTAAAAACAATGCTATTTTATACTTATTGTTAACTTGAAATATAAAAATGATCAAGAGGGTGGAAATTGGGGAACATCTGGGTGC